AGCGCGTCCGAGCCCCGGCCAATGATATCGTGTTTGAGGCACTTTCTGATGCCGCAAAACCACCGAGTAGCGACACTGCAAAAGGTGTCTCAATTTGACTGCCAAGTTTAGTGCCGTAACCTCGGCGGTCTCATCTCGAAGCTCTAACAAATATAAATGAGCTTCAAATGGCGTTTAAGGCATATGAGTGAAGTAATTAATAATGTTTCTGACACTCATGTAGGCAAGAATTAGCGCTATGGTGTTTATTTTACATGTGCATTCATGCACTCAGGGTAGTTGTCACTGATCAAAAGAAAGCAACTTTTATTTGGAATGTCTTTAAAAGTCTGACCTAAAGAACATCACGTATTTTGCTGTGAACATCACGTACAAAAAACAAAAAAAAAAAGCCGCAAGGAAAACATTTTTTTTAACACCGAAGTATCTGCTGATGTGATCTTTACTTTCCGTTAATACAGAGAGAAACAAATCAGAGCTGTCATAATCCTCTAGACCAGTAGAGGAACTGCATTCAACAGTTCTATAGCTTGTGCCATGACAAATTAAAATTTCGATGTTAGAAAAACATATAGCAATGACACGTGTTTTAAGCCTGCGTTTGCCGCAATAGTTTGTGATTCCGTCATTTTAGATTTGTTGTAAAGAGTTATCTGGTAGAAATCAGGGCTCTAGCCACTCTAATTTTGTGATGCACTGTGACCTTTAGATTTCTTCCGACCTGCTCTAACAGAGAGCGAATACCATAGCAACCAGAAACCATAGCAACCACACTGTGGCTCTAGAGTCCCTTGATACTTCTTTTACAAGTAACGGCAACCAATACAAATAGCAAAGCACATTCTGCCGTAATAAAATGGCGGCATTCAGTTTAAACCTCTGCTGTGCGCAGCCATTCGCTTCCTAAAACCTCCGCCGTCACGCAGTCGGCGCTTCAACGAATGTCGCTACTTGTAGGGAGCTCTTACCTATAGGGACTTTATGTGGCCCTTGTGGCCCTCATCTTCCGATTTTGTTTGTTTGTTTATTGATTTAACCCGGGAAGGTAAGGCAACTGTGAGCGGGCATTATGCCCATACCAACAAAGGATCCACAGTGCCTCTATGGCAGGAAAAGGAAAGAAAAACAATAAATAGCTAGAACCGGTACATAGATAAAGGGGTAAGTTCCGTGGGAGAACAAAACTGAGTTAGATGCTCCGCAGGTGGGCTGTGACGCTCTTCGTAAATGCTCGTAGTGAGGCACTGTCGACTAACGACGGATTTTACTGTCGACTGGTGGTGAACTGGTGATTGGCGCGGGGAGGGACCTCCAAAGTTGCATCGCACGGGGTGCGAAGCAGTGCGAGTGACGGAGCGTTCGGGTCAGAAGAGGCTACAGACCACCGGTGCGGGCACGCCGCAGGGAAGAGGCAAAAGGGAGAGAGGAGTCCGGTAGCAGAAAAGTGGCTAGGAGCCGCGTGGTTTCTACTTGACGCCGAAGTTGAAGCGGGTCCCAGCCAACTTCGGGGGCCAAGTTGGCGTCTTATAATAAGGTAGGCAGCGCAACGTTGTACCGATTCGAGGGAAGCAACAAGTTGCCTGGCTGCCGGGTCCCAGACAGAGCAGCAAAACTTCAGGATGGGCAACAACAGTGCTGTGGAAAGCAATCTGGGCACATCGGGACTGGCTCCTCTTGTTGATCGGATGACGAAGCCAAGGAGTTGTCTTACCCTTCCACGAGCCTCCAAGATTTCAAGAGTGGAAGATTAGGACCAGAGTGGTGTTAGCGCACCCTCGTTGTCAGATAAAGAACTGCGTTTTCTTGGACGAGGGGGAGGAGTCAGTGACAATGCTGTAGATGACACATAATTCCTACTACACAGATTTTCTTTTAGTGTTTGTGTTGATTTCCTTCCCTGTCTTGTTTAGTTTGCGGGGGTAGTATTTATACCGGATGCCAACACAAATAAAGCTTCAGTTGTAATTAGCACCGTGCTTGTGTCCCTTTCTTGTCCTAGTCTTTGGCGCTAAATTTTTTGTCGTGAATTACAAACTAGCCCAATTATCATTCCTATTCAGTAATTCATCAGCTTCATGATTCGGGGTAGAAATTTATTTTGTTGATCACATGACTACAGAAGTTTAAATTGACTGGAGTTTATTGCTTTCTAAAATAGTTTGTGGTTGTAGTTGAACACATAATAGATAACCTTAAAGGAAAAGAAAAAAAGTTTGCGTTTAGCTGTGGCTGCGATATATTCTAACATTATTTTCAGTAGGGCAGTATTTATCACATGAGGATGCCCTGTTCGCAACCTTGGCTGACTGGAAATGTTAATTATTTTTAATGTTAAGACGTTTTATTCTGGGAATAAACCAAGCCCATTATGAATATGACCATTCAGTTACGTTGATGGCGGGAGTAAGTCTCGATTAGTTGCATTTTTGGGGAGATGCGGATTGTCGTCGCTTCGACAAGGAGAAGTAAGCCTTCTTATTTTCGTTGACTACTTCCATAGTTTCTTACTTGCGCTAAAAAAAAAATAATAATAATAATAATAATAATAAAAAGAAAAACAAAAACATTTTCCCGCTTCTCGATGAGGCCCCAAAATGCCTTTTAAAACCACGTGATATAAATGCAACAATGCCATTGGCGGCCACCTTGAAGCACCATGTAGTAAACCTAGCGCATCGTTTCCTGTCGCATCGGATCGCATCGGATCGTATCGCACGTTCTTTCAGTCGAGAACAAAGTTTTCTGTTCGCCTATCGAAAGTTTTTCACAATGAGTGGCGTCGGGAAACGCAACTTTCGACTCCGGAAGGGCCGGTCACTGTGCCCGCACAAGAGAAAGCGGAAGCAAAAGCGCAGAAGTGCGATGAATCCGACGAACCAACTCGTGGATCTACCACTCCAGCAGAATGGCGACGCGCCTTCGAGGTCTTCCAGCACCGCAAGCGCCGAGCAAGGGAGCGCTTCGGAGCTCATCAGCTACGTGTCCGACTTCTTCAATGCTTTGAGAGAGAAGCTCATGAGATTCTCCTTAATGAAATCGTTGAGAAGGGAAGCGGCGGAAACGCCATTATTGGCGAAAGTAAAACTTTGACGCGACTTGTAAGCGGCGCGATGTGCGGGGGTTGTGGCAAGTGCGAACTCACCGTTGTGAACGTTGAGAACAAACGCAAGGGCCTTGCATTTTTGCTGGAGCTCAAGTTCCCGGGCGTTGCGTGCCCTTCCGAAGTTATATCGACTGCGCACACATTGCATCGTGCTGCCGCCGCCGGCCGTGGAATGTGCGACCCGGGACAATGTAGTGGAAGCGCCCGCGAAAGCTTCGCGGTCGACGTAAAGCTACTGCTTGCAGCACGAGCGATTGGCGCCGGTCATGACTCATGACCGTGAGGGCGCAACCTATGCTGCTGGAGAGTTCTAGTCTGTGGGTCCAGAGATAGGCATTTGGGAACGTATCATCTCAAAGTTTCATGTTGTTCGAGGGAGGAGTTTGGTGTATCGCGTAAAACTAGACTTCGAAATGCGTTTTTCTCAAATTGGTGTTTTGCCGGTTTCCACAGCTTGTGCAGACAATTATTTTCCTCTTGCAGTTGGCAAATTACAATACAATTTCACGCAGCGGTTTCTGACAGTTTAAAAAAGTGCATAAATCTTGTTAGTTACAAAATAAATGCTACCACTTAAGAAATACAGAACAAAAATGAAAGCTAAAAAAATACTCGACACGCTTTTGTATTGTTGCATAAAATGATTCTTAGGTGTTGGTGAATCAAATAGATATTCACACACTGTAGTTCATGGGGAACTAACCTGGCTATTTAGGCTGCTCTATCTTTATAATTAGTAGGATAACTTGTGTGCACAAGGAAGCCGTTGTTTTATGCCTATCATACAGCACAGATATTGAACTAGAGCAGCTATCAGAAAACGGACTGCATAGATTAAAAAGGGAGCCCTATTTCTATTAACTATATAAACTTCGGCCCCCTTACCACTATATAAAAAAAGTAAGCCCGAGGAGCATCTTTTCTTAGGACTATTGGCTTCAAAAGAACGGCTTGAGAAGTCTGTAAGGAACCAGCTACAAAAGTCAAACAGCGCGTCGTTCATGTCGTGGTAGTCACTTGCATCATAAAATGTTTTTGGTACACGTGACGCAATGTTCTCATAGTATCAAGGCAAGATCGAACCAGATTATACGGAGAAAAATTGAGGGAGTTGGAAGAGATGAAAGCGCAAGGGAACACAGGGGCCTTGATATGACGCACAGTGGATAAACGCTAATGATATCCATGTTGCCTTTGCTCCCCACTCAGAGTTAAAACACGTTCGAGCGTCAAATGCCGGCGTCCGGTGTTCGAACGCAAGACAATGCGTGGGAAGCAGACGACGGTCGGCTCCTTGCGCTCGGCGCTTTCACGTCCCCACACGCAACTTATTTCAACTCTCCTTCAGAAATCACCAAGCACGAAGGTGAGGACTCGTTGATATGACGCAGTTTACCAGCGATGTGCCTCGTAGAACTCGGTGACCAAAGAAGCGTCACCATCTGGCGGGTGGTAACAACAAGCACCAATAAGAGTGGGTGGGTAGTAAGCTTCGAAGGAAAGTCGCTTCCTTTATCAGCGGTCTTTTTCCCGAGAATGTTAAGTATGTCGTACCTTTGTAAAATTCCCACTTCCTGCATTTGGTGCGGCGAAGCTGTGTGGACAAGCGCGAGTATATGGAGGCGTATGGGTACGAAGAGCGAACTTGTACTGCCACGACAGACCGCCCGAGTTGCAGGTCATCGGCGGGTGCTCCTTTGTTGTGGATGTCGATACAGCCTGTTGTGCACAGTTAAGACCTATATTTATATAAAATAAAAAGAAATATAATTCGCCCTTTTGTACAAGACGAACGGGCAGCAATTTGAAGAAGAATGCAAGCTACACACTGGAAAAGACGATAATTACAATTAATACTAGTCATAATTAAATACGCATCTTAAAAAAAGCAGAGCGATTTCTCGTCAGGCAACGTGGATTTATTGTTTCTGTAAGACACAAATCTAGGAGACCGGTCGAGCAGGAACTTTTTGTGTCCGAAGGAAAAAAAATACACGATTATTTTTTCCGTTCGTACTCACTGTTCAGAACAGAGTAATTTGTTGTTAATTTAGTAGTGGATCTGTTTGCGGAACTATTTTCTAAATATTTTCACAAAGGGTGCTATCGGCAATTAAGAATTGTCAACTTGGTCTTTTTCGGTGCTTGCTGGTTGTGACAGGATGAGTCGATATACATGCTGAATGTACTACCCCTGACTCGCGACGCAGAATTCCGCAAAAGAGTAGTTCTAGGATGTTGTATGAATGCCTCTTTTCCTCTTAGAAGCGGAGCACTTGATGGTGTGTGATTTATGTGGGAGAGATTCTTGGTTCAGCAGTCCATTTTATAGTCATGTTGCGTCTTGACAAAGTACGTAGTCAAAGTCCCTTTGCCCTTGACGTATATAGAACCCCGACATTCACACTGATAGCCACATTCTTCCAGTTTCCTGGCGGTGTCTTCTGTGACCTGTAGAGAAAAAAAATCACTCGTTACGTTCTTGTTCAATTGGATACAATGAAGGGAATATGTGCCATAGTTGCGCAAGTTCTAGTAGAGTCCAAGTAAAAGTATCTTTTATTTGTGTGTCATGGCAACGTTACTGAAATCAAAGTTCGTGCCTTGTGTTCTCACCAATTTAATATCGCAAAAAGTATAGTACATTAATACGATATTTTTGGAGTAAGTGGCATTGCCAAGGGACACGGGCTCGGAAGGCTTGCGCTCAGCACGAATTATTTTTAAAAATAATATACCGCCATTGTCATCCACATTGTATTTCATTCCACCTTCACAATGGTGACAGTGAAGTGACATTTCACAGTGGGCACGGCGAAGGCACCGGGAGCAGAGCACTAAACATGTGTCACCTTGGCTTGTTACAGACCCTGCTGCTGACCTTCGCCTTAGCTTCGTGACTACACTTTGATGAATCAGCTTTTCGGGTGACGACAACCAACTGCTGCCTTCAAGAGAAAAATGACTTCATCATCGGAAATCTTTCAGCTTACACCACGATCATAGGAAGGAGCACAGCACGGCGTGTAACCCATAGCGATTACAGCCTCCGGCGCACCAGTTACGCGTAAAGCCCCTGGATACTACTCTTTACAAGTAACGACAACCAATACGAATGATGAAGCACATTCCGATGGAACAAAATGGCGTCATTCAGCTCGGTCTCCCGCAGTGCGCGGCTACTCGCTTCCTAAAACCTGTTCCGTCGCGCAGTCGGTGTTTCAAAAAATGTCGCTACTTGTAGGAAGCTCTTATCTAGGCACTTTAGTTAAGTGTACTTACTATCTTTGAATGTCAGAACGTTGCCAACAAAGCTTATATTGCCTTAAAATATTGCTTCTTTCTAACGACCCTCATTCAGTTGTTCGAACAGAAACTTGGTTTCATTACAGAATTCATGATGGTGAAATTGTTCCGCCTGGTCTACATTTGTACAGACACGATCGTCGTCCACGTGGTGGAGTCGTAGCGGTAATCGCAAAATCATATATCAGTGTATCCGTACTTGATCAGATTAAGGGTTATCAAAGTTTGTTTTTGAAGGTGTCATTATTGAATTTCAATTTCCAGGCGTGTGCTGTGAATCGAGCTCCAAATGCCACAGATTTGTTTCTTGATAGATACGATTACGTGGTGGCCCAGCGTGGGCAAAATGTGAGTATATAGGGCGATTTTAATTTACCCGGTTCACATTGGAAGCAGCTGGCATACGGAGCCTCCAGCAGCAATGATGTTTTGTTGGGCATGATGATAGCCTTAACCCTGATCAAATTGTCCGTGAGTGCACTCGTTAAAGAGCTCTTTTAGATCTTTTTTTGTTGTTTTTATGATCAAATATTTTCTGAGGGTGTGCTTATAGTGTCGAACCCGGTATTTCAGATCATGGCCTGTTGTCTTTTTGTTGGATTGCTAAACATATGGTAAGCACGAGAAATTGTTATGTTATACTTTGAAAGACGTATTGACGAAAGCATTATTGAATACCTGTTGGCTGATTTAAATATTACCTCTGATGATAATGTTGGCAGTTTATAAGTGAAGTTAAAGATGCTGTAAAGTGTTTTATTGAACATTTTGTCCCTTCGAAAAAAGTACGAAAAAATCTCCATTATCCTTGGGTAGTCGGGAAATTATTTAAATTAAACGCAATATAAAGCGAAGTGGAACGCATCATAAAACTTCACCAGGGCAATTCAAAGGACTAAAACAGAAATTGGTGGTAAAGGTAAATCTTGGAAGAACAAAATATTTTAATGTAACGCTTCCTGAGTTTATTAAAAGTGACCCACAAATATTTTGGCATTATCTTGGACAAGAGAAGGAAGTACTGAAAGAACTATAAATAAATGGGAATTTTGTAACCGAGAATAGGAAAATAGCACAAGCTTTCAATCGGTACTTGCAAAATGTATTTAATGCAAAAAAAAAAAAATAATCACAGGGTGCAAAGCCAGTCAGTCAGTTGTGAAGAGGTTTTGTCCATTTCAGTGGAAGGGGTTTTGACCACGCTACGTTAGCTGGAAGGTAAGAAGAGCTTTGGTCCGTATGGTGTCCCCAATGCGTTTTGAAAGCGCTACACCGAGCAATTGACTGTATTTTTAGCTAAGAACTTTCAAATTTCGTTATCTTTTACTTGTTTATCGGAATTTTCGTTTGATGAACGAAAGCGTCTAAGAAACTCCAGACATCGCACTTTGTTTGTAAAAAAAAAAAAAAAAAAAAAACTACACTGTTACCGAGTAGTTTATGCGGCGACCAGTGAAGTGATCATGTGACGAGCTCAAGAAAACAGACCTGTATCCTCCCGATGACACCGCAGCTGTCCATTCGGCTTGCCACGTTCACCGTATTGCCCCAGATGTCGTACTGAGGCTTCTGCGCTCCCACCACACCGGCGATGACAGGGCCGTGGTTGATTCCTGAAGTATACATGGATGATACCGTTGTGCGTCATCAAGTGTACGTTGCAGCGTCATTACTACTGAAGCGTCGTTATATATCGCTATTGAGAAACAAGAAGAACGGGCCGCCCGAGGCACATAGGTTCGTCGAAACCTGGCCATGAAAGGACAATGCCGGCCAGATAAATATTTGTAAACACACGTTGTTGATTACCTTATTCTCTCAACAAGCAGTCAGCCGTCCTTGCAACAATTATCGCGGCTTTTACTAGAAATCCGCCCAATGATTGGTTCTGAGTTGGTACCGACATCGGTAAAAAAACGAGAGAGACAAAATGGATGCAGGTCGACTACTATCGGCAGCGGAGTATCGACAAAAACTTTAGCACAACGTTTGCCGTTTTATATCGTCTTTGTCACTTCTCTAGATTACTCTGTTCTCACCAGAGGTTACCGCTCTTATATTTTTGTCACAAATTTGTAGTCAGCCGCTTTCTCATATCAACTCTAGGAGGCTCAGGTTTTTTTGCCAAAAACCAAAGAGGCAACTGTACCCGTGGACGACTTTCTGGGGCAATGTTGACGAGAGAAGTGCGCATGCACAGCTTTAATCCGCCTTTATGCACGCGCCCTCATACCTTCGACTGCATAGTATAGTAACAGTGTAGTAACTTCTCTCGCTTGGAAGGCGCAAAAAGCGTTTTTATTCCTGATTTGTTTCCTACCAGCACATAGATAAAAATACAATTCTTTAATCATACATGGTGTTTCAACCTTGAGACCGGAAAGGAAACCTGAAGACAAAGAAGGAACAGAAAAAAAAAAAATGGACAGGCGGCGTCTCAAACTCGGCTACAAAATTTATTTGATCCAAACCTTTTTTGTCCACTTTCTTCTGTTCCTGCTCTGTTTTCAAGTGTCCTTCCCAGTCTCAGGATTTAAAATTCGGGATTAATACGCACCCCAGATCGCCTTCGCTTTGACAGTTTTTTCAACAATTCTTTCTTCTTTATTTAGCAACTCTTTCTTTTGAGTGCAACAGCTCAATTTTAAACCTAATATGATGCATCAAGTAAGGTAACTAAATTACTGGTAGGGTTAATTACTGCGAAAGACGAACGCCTTTTAATCTAAAAGAAAGGTAAACAGTAAGAATTTATTAAATCTACACCCTCGGGTCACACGATCAGTATGACAATAGTAACAGTCCTTGGAAGCTTCAACGACTGGGATTTCGGTCCGCCTGCTTGGCACGGAAGCCATCTTTGCGTTACACAATTCCAGTTAAGACTGCTGGTTCCTGCAGGACAATGGTGCTCGGTTTGGCTGCAATTTCCAGGGCTTTCAAATTCTGTCATAGAGCGGTAAAATATTTACTAAAACAATCACCAATAGACTCTTCTCAAGAGCAGGCGCCACCTAGTAACTGCTGCATCATGTATAAAAAACCGCCAATGTTTAATCACGTACTGTGAGCATGTATTCGAAACGAGGACTGCTTGTGCGTTCGGTGAGGGTTCGATCCAATCACACGCTTTGTGCCGGAAAATGGCGACCGCCCATGTTGCTTGATAATGTTTCGAAAAGGTAATTCTCTTTATTCTCGACTGGAAAGCGGGAACCACTTGCTTGTCTGTTTTCCCGTGATGTCTTCGATGTATTTCCTACTATCAGAGCGCTCTTTCAATCGCACAATTGTGTTCACTATTAATAATAATAATAATAATGATAATAACAAAATAATATTGTTTATGTGCCCGAAAACAACCACGCGCGTCTTCACATTGGCGCACACAAGATAAAACAAAGAAAAACAACACGCGCACAGCATCAAATGTACAAATTAAAATGGCTACAAATAGTGGGCACACTTCACACAAAATGTTGTACAGTTTCAACTTTCAACTAAACTCCCCGAGTCCCGGCGAAAAACTGAGGGATCCGTGAAAATGTCCATATTGTCTTGGGATGTGGAAGGTAAATTGCGGCCCCTACGCTAAATCGTTCGCTCAGACAAGCCTTGTTAAGTTGCAAGAGCAATTGTAATGCCCTCATTCGAAAGACCACCAGCTAAAGATGCTGAAAGCTTCGGGAAATCGTAGGAAAATTTAATAATTCAAGCAAGAGTCTTAAAATGTTCTAAAGGAATGTTGATGAGCTGTCTCAGACTAAAGATAAAATATGATCGTCTTTTTCAATGCCGTTCGAATTCGGAAGGACTGAAGCATTGGCGAATAATTTTGACACACTCGATAAAGGCACGCCGGTATTAACCTCGTCTTTAATAACATCCCGGAGCAACCGAGATAACCGTAGACAAGAAATGAAGAAATAAGAGCTCTTTTTGTCAGAAAGCTTGGCTATAAAGACCAGCGAATCCTATAGGACGCATAGGGTAAAGTATAAAAATAACACACGTTTTCTCCAGCACAATTATAGCAAAGTTCCTTGAACTTGAAAAAGGAAAAGGCCAACAACAACAAGCGAACAGTTCTAAAAATAAACGCACATAAGCTAGAAATAGAGCTAGATTCCTCTAGAGCTTTTGATCGAAGATTATTTTCCAGTCATTTGCGAAGTAGGTAGGAAGCCGTTGGACTGCGAAAGAACGGACTGCGATCTCCAGAGACGCTTGTGACTCTATTTTGTTTTATAAGTTCTCCAAGAACGATAAAGCGTTTTTGTAAAATGTTTGAACGGGAACTGTTCTATTACGCAGGAACGACCGAATTGCAAATCCAAATTGGAAAACTTTAGATAAAGAAAACTTCCCACCACATGACAATCGGTACGGTATTGCCAATGTTTGGAGCATATTATACTAATTGGACACGCTCACTGATATAGTTGAAACCTGGAATATTCACGTTGTACAAGGAACGCGAAGCCTTGTTTCTGTCGGTATACTGAATGGCGACCTAGTACTCGAGAATGCCGGAGTTATTCGCAGAAATGATAAAGTGCAGCCCCCAGCGGCGGCCTTCTTGCTCTCGAAAAGTATTTTTGTTGGTTCCCATTCAAACTGACGGCGGCATCGAGATTCCTTGAGTGCTCGTCAAGGTGGAGTTTTTTTGTTCTTCTAAGAGGGTGCTCGCTAGAGACTCCCTAATGAGTTATCTAAAGTGTTGATCGTCTGCATAGATCCAAGGAAAAAGTAAATCCCGAAAAGCCCTACAGACTTTTCTTTAGGTGATTTATTTTTCCGCGGAATTGACTGGAACCATCTCCAGCAGCCAGAAATATGTCATAATACTTTAAATTCATCTTTCGTTCTCAACGTGTGCCACTCGTTCCGCCTGACATAAGTAGTTTTAAACCACTGTTTAATAAATTGCACATTTTTGTAAAAACCGGAGACAACGAACTTCCGTCGTCTCCGTTTTTTTTTTTTCTATTTATGTGTAACATTAAACAGCTCGCCTGTTTACTTACTCTTCCTTCAATTAATATGTATTCACTGACTTGATTTGAATAACTAGTGGAATACCAGAAAACGCCTTCTTTTGAGAATAAGGTGACCGCGTAAGTTTTGAATGATATTATCACATGTACAGGTTGTTTCACGAAAAGTGGAAAATTCGATGTTGCGAAAACTGCGCGTCGCAACAAAAAAAGGCTTGTCTCGTTTTGGTCCTGGGCCAGAGGCCCAATTAGGACAATTTTTAGATTTTGGAATAATTCAGTTGTTAATTACTTGTGCGTAATTAACTTCTTTAATATTGAGTTTGAGGGCATAGTTTTAATTAGAAAATAGCTCAGCATCATCAAAAAACACTAAATCAACGAAGCAATCGGAGCGCATCTCGGCCCCGACGGCATCGCGCCTTGTGGAGAAATAGTGCAACCAGCCTCTGCTGCATTGCGCAAGGACAGCGCAGCAGAGGTTGGTTGCACTACTTCTCCACGGTGCGTCGGGGCCGAGATGCGCTCCGATTGCAATCCGAAACTTAAAAACCCGTCGGATCTGCGCGGCTTTTCCGAAAGCCGTAAAATGCTGCGCGTGCCTTCTATCGTTCCGCGATTTGTTGATTTACACTCGTATTTACCAGGCGCGAGTAGCGCCTGTTTAACCACTAACTAGCGACGTCATTGACTAAAATGATCACGTGGCAAGCAATAGTCGCCGCTAAGTGAGCGCTTGGTATTCACCGGTCGTGTTAGGACGTAGTCGCCCCGTGCGACTAAGAAGCCGACTAAAAAATCTTAGTCATGGGGTAGGGCTAGTTTAACCGGTGTTTAGCGGGTGACTAGCGGCTCAGCGCCATGGCCGACTTGTATCGCCGGTGACCCCAGCGCTATAACGAAGCACTTACTGTCTCTGAACTCTAGGGGACATAAGTGTAGATCGCATATAACGTATGTCGCGGGAGTCGCGAAAATCCGCACTATAAGCGGTACCGCGTTATAACCAAAACATCAATTTTTCAGGCCAAAATACATGCCATGAGACAACTTACCTTTGTAAAAGAATTTATTTTATGTTAGACGAAGAGGAGTCTTTATTTCACCAGACTAGTACACTTCTCTTTAAGTGTGTCAATTTTGAAAGAAATGAGCGACTTTTGCCTGGCGCAGCCTTTTAACGGCGTCGCTGGTTGCGGACAGACGTTGCGAGCGTTCAGGATTGCTAACCCTAATCACTTTTCTCCGGTGATGAAGACGCGTTAAAGTTCGCATCCTTTATACGGTACGCGCCAGTAATACCTTCAACTTTAGCACAGGCGTGAAATGCTTCAAATAAGAAATCCGGGCGATGTTCGAAAACACAAATGCTTAGAAAGCACCACTGTAGTCGAAGTAAACAAACACGACGACACGGGCGTTTCCGCCGTGTTGAGAGTGCCGCCACGACATCGCCGCACAAGTAGGTGGATCTTCCCTTCTAGTACGTGCTGGGTTATCGTAGCGACACACAACGAAAATTCACAGTCAAGGATAGCGCTTTTACGCGGAACGATCGCAACCGACGCCATGTTTGCGGATAGAAGTCGGCCCGTGACCGGCATGCAACGCGCGCGAACACTTCTCCTCGACCTGCGATTGGTCTGTCGTTGCAGTTGTTTCCAACGCCAACGCAGCGGAGGGACGCACGCACGTGAACGACACGTGCGTGCGTCCCTCCGTCGCTATGGCAACTGAAGCCTCTCTCCTCGCTTCTCTCCGCTTCTTGGAGCCACGACTTCGAGCAACCTTCTTGCACCGCGAGTGCCGCTTGCGGCTAGCCAGGCTAGCGCCGTTATGTAGTGTCGCACAGGGAAGCGTGCTGGGTGCGCCGGTCAATCGGCGCAATTGGCGCGCAGTTCCAGAAACCACACTATAACCGGAATTTCCCTTCGCGCGCCTGCATTTTAAGCGGTATGTCATTACATGGAGCTCTATGGGAGGCGAACCGGTGGTTTAAAAAAGCCGCGTTATACTCGGTCCTGCACTATAAGCGGTTACGTTGTAAGTGGTCTATACCTATCTAGAAAAAATTGGAGGAGCAAATATTGTGTAAATAGCCATGTTCAATGGCCAGAAATACTGCTAAAGAGATTTCAGCAAGGCGCTGGACGACGAGAAAAAAGGCATTTACGGGTGCCTCCATACTTGTTAATGTCGCTAGCAATGCGGCTTCCGTGTTTCTCCCTTGCGTTCTCTTAAATATTTTTTTGTTTTATAACTCTGTCTCGGACAATGAGTTTTTTATTGTAACTTTTTTCCGTGATAAACAATATTAGTTTTTATGCGATAAAACACCCGGTTACGAAACGGCGTTTAATTACGCGTATGCTTGACCTATCTTTTTATGTCACTTCCGCTTCTTAGTTCTGACTAGATAGTCACCCGCTCGCTTCGCGCTTATGAATACTGCGGAACTAGTCGATCCTTAGTCGCTGATTTTTTCTCTTAGTTCGCGACTACTTAAACGTGGTACTAACTTTAAAACAGAGCAAGTAAGTCACAACTGGTGAATACGGCTGATAGTGTTTTTCGATGATGCAGAGCAATTTTTTAATTGAAACCATGCCCTTAAACACAATATTAAAAAGGTTAATTACGCAAATATATTTAACAATAGTATGTTCGACTATAGGGCGCTGTACGTCAATTTGAAGTCTTGGGGTGTATTATATGGGACAAAAGGGTGTTAGGTGATACCCTTTTTTTAGAGTGTATCATTTAAAAGGTTAAAAGAGCGAACTGAAACTGAAACACGGGCGAAACATCGACGACGGTTTGGCTGAGTTGTGTGGTTGAGTGAGTACGGTCAACGACAGTCTGGCTGAATGGATGTTTTCTTTCTCAATAAAAGCAGTCGTAAGTGGCGCCTGTCCTTGTCGTCCGCGTTTCAGTTGGCGCTTTTAACCTTTTAAATGCCCTATCATGTTCACGCTTCGGGCTTAGTGAGTTGTACTTTGGTGATCAGATCGGCTGATTCTCCAATCCCATTGGCTGTGGAACGATAAGAAGACGCACAGCATTTAAGCGTTTCTTCAGCCGTCAGTGACTCTGGGGTGTGTGTCCTTTGGCCTCAATATTGCAGTCGGCGACATGAAAACGGTGTAGAGATCCAGAAGCCATGAAGTTAACATAGTAACCGAGAGGGAATTGTACCGTACGTTCTGGCCTTTTCGGAGTGGCGGGGCACAGACGCGGATACCGGTGGTCCCAGTTAAAGTCCCTTGACAGTTGTTTTACAAATAACGACAACCAATACAAATGACAAAGCGCATTCCGCTGGAACAAAATGGCGTCCTACAGTTCACTCTTCTGCTGTGCGCCGCCATTCGCTTTCTAAAACCTGCACCGTCACGCAGCCGGCGCTTCAAAGAATGTCGCTACTAGGCTCTTATTTAGAGACTTTAGTCCCAGTGGGTGGTGACTATTAAAGTTTTCAGATAAGAGCGACCTACAAGTAGCGACATCCTCTCAAGCGCCGACTGCGTGACGGAGCGGGTTTTTGGAAGCGAATGGAGGCGCTCAGCCGAAGACTGAAGTCAATGATGCCATCTTGTTCCGGCGAAATGTGCTTTGTCGTTTGTATTGGTTGGCGTTACTAGTAAAAAGAAGCATCGTGGGATTTTAGCCCCGATAGACCCATGTTGCTGGCGACGCATTAATACACACAAAGAAGCAGCAAAACATCGTAATGTCTTGCTGATCCTTTGCGCATACTACAGCAATAGGCTAAATATATGTTTAGACCTCAAGAAACAGTCTGCGCTGTGGCGCCTAGCACGGTGAAACGTCACGTTCAGTGCCACAGCGCAGGCTCTTTCTTTGAAGTCTAAACATATGTCTCGTCATTGGCCGAGCGCCCTCCGTAGATTGTAGCCACTGGTTCTCACAAGCGATTTGTGGGTTAGTAGACGCTCGAGGAGTTTTGTTGTATATTAACAATAATTTGTATAATGCGCGTGTCCCACTATAGAGTGACGGACAGAAACAAAAGACAACGACAAGCCTCAAACCAGAGTCTTTCGCGATTAATACCCCATTCACACAAGGGTACCTTTAACATAGGCCCTTTTGCTATCGGTGAATCAGCCCCTGCTCTTGGGTCGCGAGCACACGCCACGCGCGGAAGATCGGTGATTGATTGGCCGCAGAGAATCAAGGTCCCTTAGCTAAAGGTACCTTCACGGTCGTGAGAATCGGGTATTAGAGGCTTTGTAGAATAAAGAAGGCTGTGCTCAAGCACGAGCCTCATGCACGCGAGGGTACCTTTGGCAGGCTTGCAATCGCTCGTGTTTACTTAACCAGCACTCAACGACTACACGCCTGACTAAGGTACCATCGCGAGCGTGCTGCATGGGCTTGAGGCTTGTCGCTGTCTTTTGTTTCTGTCTGTCGCTCTAGTGGGGCACGGGCATAACAGTGTAGCTCGTGAGGCGAGCATGAAACCTTTTTTTTTTTCCTTAACAACACTTTGTCGCTGAATGCGTGAATGCTTGCGCTTGTAACCAACCGCGCTCTCAAAAGAAACAGAAGGTTCTCAATTGCAAAACTTCTCTTACTAATACATAAGCCAGGCAAGGCGCTATGGATACCGGATGGTTTATTATGCGCTATTGGGCTCGCGGTATTAAATGGTGCAGATCTTGACCTGACTGTTTTCTTTCCGGTCAAGACCACGACAGCCACTTCGTTCTATCAATACAACATATACAGCGCGACTATGGCTGGTCTTTCTATTTGTCACAAACTTCAGCTAGAAGCGAAATACTCGACTCAATTCCTTCGCGTATTTGAGCTCCCAATGATCTGGCAACCCACACATTGCGCGTTCGAACTTTGTAAGCAATTTACCAGGGTTTGTAATTAACGTAATATAAATAATCTCCTCTCTACGCGCGACTTCGTAAACAATTAGTCCGTTAGTAAGTTCGCGAGTGCTTTGTTTATGCACCTCACTGCAAAAATTGTCGTAAAAAAAAAAATCATTGGAAGGACGTTTTTTTATTCTTTAGTTCTTTTTTTCTTTTATGATGCTTTCCAGTATAGAACCACATGCTAGACGCGGTTTGACATAGTGTTCTACACACTGTGGTATTCTCGCTCACCGCTTGTCCGAAGAAAGGGGCAGAGCCTTGATGTAGGCCACCAATGCAAAATTCAGTCATAGATGCTAGATTCTTCAAATCTAGATGACCAAAATCCAGCTTTCTAGCCTGACCTGAAGATTGGCTTCTGTCAGAAAGCTTTATGCTCCCATGACCTATCGCACTTCAACTGAATAAACTGACTCAGAGGTGCGTGGAACTGAATGAAATGGGACGACAGAGCAATATATTCCTTGATCTATAATGCTGCGTTTTAACTCTCGTATTTTCACCACTGAAAGGAACCGCTCAAAACCCAAGGCACTTCTATTACACGCACTGCTCAAAGAGGTGCGATTTATAAACCCATCTAATTCCGAGATTGTGTCAGCAGCGATGCTTTGGTATAAACTTAGGACTTCAATTTCCACCTGAAACAAAGCTAAAAATAAGGTTTCAGAAAAGAGCTTGAATTAAGGGCGAGTAACTGAAAATGACATCGTTGTACTTAGGTATATTTTTGCTCGGAGCACCAGATATCAACCGCAAAGTGATGCGCATGTCTCGCCTCAGTGGCGCCACCATCGGCGTGGAGCGTGCGCGGACGATTCACGTGAATCTGGTTTCTGCGCAAGAGCGGCGCCCACACCTGATGTGGACAAACGCAGACTTGTCTGTAAACAGAGCGTTGGGCTGTAGGGTCACTCCTAAGAGCTAATTATGCACGCGCGTTCTTTACGATTTGATCATAAGATATCATAAAAGCCGGGTATAATAGGAATCAACAGACCCGTTAAGCGACAGGTGGGTGAGACGGTCGTACCTATTCGCAGCTTGAACCTTTGGAATGACTCCCTGTTGATTTGTTCAAGCAGTGCCGTGAGTGCAATGGCGAACTCGACCAAGCTGACCACGTTGTGGTCATCTCTTGGTTTATCCTGGGAGGAAGGGAAGCCACGAATATATAAAACAATACTGTAAAATTCCACATTAAAAACAAACAAACAAACGTAGACGACCGACGAAGGCGACCAACACGAAACGTCTCAAACGCAGCTACTAAACTTTATCGACACAGCCGTTTATATATCATCTCTCAGATACGTGTCTCCCGGAATTTCCACACGTCTTTGGGATCTTCCACCATGGTACAACTCTTCATGACCTCCGTTCAAGCAATAACCCCAACTTGCACACAGCACAACGGACACGTCAGCCGGAATTTGCCTGCATCTTTGTGGCCTTCAACCACGGTGCAGACCTCATCTCGTACACAACAGTGGTACAGGCAATAATTCAGAACAAACCATCTTCCCCGAAGACCTAACCAAGCGCACCCTCGTCGTGCATCCGTTCCCAGTCTCCAAACTACCGCCTAATAAAGAAAACAACAAACCCAATTTAAAAAAAAAAAAAATTACAACAACAAAAGGTTTTGGGCCTCTCCATCTGGTGTTATCGTCGGGTGACAGATACAATTTCCCTACAGACATAATTTTGATTGTCTCCTTCGAGACTCTTTTTGCATAACATTTTTCTTTGCTTAATGGCATTCCCGCACAGGTTTAGCAATCTCAGAATTAAGAGATCTGTTCTTGACCGCCCTCATGTGTTCAAAGAGTCTATCATTTAGGCACCGTTTCGTTTGCCCCACGTGCGAGAACGCACAGCCCATCGGAACATATTATCACACGTATTACCTCGCGTCAGTGGCGCCCCTCTCGGCGTGGAGCGTGCGCGGACGATTCGCGCTATTCTGGTTTCTGCGCTGGCAATTAACAGCGGGTTCTCTATGCCCCTTTTTGAGAACCCTGTGCTCCACGCACAAACGGCCTAAGCCTGTTCAACTTGAAGTCGGAAGTAGAAACCACTCGAACCCTGAAACTCTCAGCAACCACCAGCGGATCGTTTGAAAAATTATGGAAAAATGGAATGGTCATTGCCCTGTCTGGTTTCTCCGCTTCTTTCCTCACTACATCTCCGAACTCATCCAAGCACTTCGTTGCGATCCCCTACACAATGTTACCCTGATACCCCGCCTCTTTTACACGCACCAATTGCCTCCTAACAGCTTCCTGTACTTTGTGCTAACAATATTTTTTTAGACCGTTGTCCAGCAAAGACTTCACCTGGTTTGACCAATTTCGAATGTCAACCTTTGTATGCAAAAAGCGTTTTGCCACGAGCTTTCCATGTTACCAGCCCAACCCGTCTAGCGTGTTCAACCTCAGACCCAAATACTGCAGCACACCTTCACCAGGCTCCTCGCTGCTAAGTTCAACTCAGGCGCGGCCTGTACTATGACCTTTTTTGATATTCTGTACTGTCTCTGACAGCCGAGCATATCAGAATGTCATCAACGTATCTAATAATAAAAACCGACACTTCTGGGAACGACTGTACTGCTGGCTCCGAAGTCACGTGTTGGACGTGACTTCGGGGCAAGCGGTACAAGCGGAGCCAAGTATACTATAGGACAACGCCCGCGCCAGGGACAAACTGATGCAGATTCCTTTCTTTCGAGAAAATTTGCCCGCTCAAATTCGACCGCTGTGGATTTCAGACACAGTTCTACTAGAACAAAAAAAAAAAAAAAAATTCTGTGTCTTAATCTTGGATTGCGACTGGGACCGAACCAATTTTGTCTGTAACAATAAGTCCCTTAACCTTGAGAGTAAATGGAGATGACCAGTCTAATCGTGCTAAAAAAAATGTGCGATATATTATGTCACTTGACAATAAATACATTAAAGACTGAATAGAATTGGTAGAGTTACTAAATAAATAAATCGCGGCAGAGTGAACACGAACAAGGAGTTCCCCGGTTTTGGCTGCCATGAAAAGGCGACGGAAAAAAGCTCACCGGGGAAAAGTTCACCGGAGAAAAACTTACTGGAGATAAGCACACCGGAAACAAACTCACCGAAAAAAAAGCTCACCGCAAGCATGTTCGATGCGGAGAAGAGCTCACCGGCCTTTTGACGGATGCGGAGACAAGCTCATTTACGAATCTCAGAGTCGAGCATTCACTCAAGTGAAATACGTTTACTCAACTGGGGTATGCTGGGCTGCATTATACGCATAGGGTAATTCTGCACTTCATTATCCTCTGTTCACCCTTAAGCTGAGTGTAAAAGCGCCGCCTTCAGCGCGAGCTTTCTGCCCTTGCTAACAGAAGCGTGCACGCGCAAGCATGCGTAAGCTAGGGAGCCTTCATGCGCGCTTTGCTAGGGTGATGCCACCCTTTCTAATACCACTCGCCGACAAACCAGCAGCCATTTTGGTCCTCGGCGATAATCCCGGAAACAAGCACCTTATCTCACAAGCTCGGAGCAGCGTTGTGGAACCCACGGAGGGAGGATTAGCATTTCCCCCTTCAGATGGGAGGACCGATGGACACAAAGGCCACTTTCCGGCGCACGGGGAAACAATAAGAGGAACAAAATGGCGGTGGAAGGGGGTGTGGGAAAGGGAAACAGGCAGTTGGCATCGCTCTATGCGAAGCGCACATCAAGGCACCCTAGCAACTGAAGCACTGCGGAAGCCAGCGAGCTCGCACTGAAAGCGGACCTTCTACTCTCAGCTTAAAGGTGAATGGAGTATAGCAGAATATATTTATAAAAAAATATATAAAAAAACATTATTTTACATGTTAGGCATTGAACGAAAAACATAATTCGGTAAATCTTTTTTCCGCGTTGATTTCACTGATCGGAAAAATTTATCTAACGACCCGCCATGTTTAAAAATGCATATATCGATAAATCATCAACATTTTTTAGCAAGAGTGGTATTAGTCTGATTTCAGTCAAATAAATATGAAAAAAATCTTACTTGTTTTAATTCCTTTTTTTTAAATATATTTATAGCTACCTGATAAGAAGTACACCGCGTGACACTGTGAACGTAATCGAACGATGAACTTTTTTTTTTTGCATTTTACTGCTTGCTATTAATGCTATTAGTGCGGTGGAAATTGCTCATTCGAGGCACAAACTTACGCAATAAAAGTTTGACAGTGGTAATTTTTTTCTTTAAGTAAAATGGGAAATATCGCTTCGCGCTAGCTCTATTGTACGGTGTAACGCCTGCGTGAGAGACGCCTCAAACCTCGGCAGCACTACTGCTATTAGATGATAACAACCACTTTAAATAATCATTTAATTCGAGGTGAGCTTCCATTGGGTCTGTCAAAATACTGGTAGGCTTTTCTCCGGACCCGCACAAAAGTGGGTGAGCTTTTCTCCGGTCAGACTTTCTCCGGGATCTCTCTATTAAAATGTGTTCACCCGGGAGGTTAACTTCAACTGTGAAGTATCAGGTTTAATATAAAGCTGTAGAAATAAAACGGGACAACATAAAAATGTCGTGTCCGCACCGTGTGTGTGGGGCAGTATATGAGTGTTGCCACCATTTTCCAATAAACATCGATCGTTAAAGAGCTTTTCAACGTTTTGATATGTTTGGCCAAGTTTAGTGCTTACAGTACTCCGGAATGATAATACAGAAACAGCATTTACACGATGATACGATGTATATCTTTAGCACAACATGTCAGCTCCTGGAATGAACACTAAAAATTGCTAAACATTGTTCTGTTGGGTATAGCGCGACAATTGACCATTTTCAAAAGCGAGCCTCAGCTAATAGCTGGTGCGCGAATCATCCGGGTCCGCCATTGCTCGGGCACATACTCTGTCTCCGTAGCGGAGACGAAAGCTGCAGCAGCGTTCAGCGTGAACTCGGCTTAGCTTGTGTCGAGAACCAGGGCAGCGTCAGGAGTCGGCGAGGATTCGGATCCCATTACGCCCTTTGTGCGCAAGAAATGGCGACCGCCGATGTTGCCTGTTGGCGTTATGAAAAGTGTCTATTCGAACAGGACGCTAGAAGTGTTAGTTTCCTATACTGATACTAAAAACAAAAACGAGTCCAAAGTTTGTAAAGTTACGAAGTGATTGTTTTTCTCTTTTTCTTTTTTTTTTTGCAAACTTTGAAACATCCAGAGACTGTCTAAAATTCTCAACAGGTTAGTTTACTAAGCCGTCTTTTATTTTTATGTTAACGTTTTACTTTTAGGAAGCAAATATTTTGATTATATTTGAGTGTATAAGGTATGGTGGCTACAAATATGGTCATTTTGTGCAAAAAAACTCACGTTGAACTACTTTTCTTATTATTCGTGTAAATTCGTGCCTTCTTACGGAAAGAGATTTGTGCAAATGTAGTTCTTTTTTCAAGAGTATCCCTTTTATTTCCCCTTCGGGCTCTCTTTTACGGAAGAGCCCACTTACTCTGCACTTTTTCCTATAGATTTTCGGCATCCTTGTGCGTGGGTAACGCATAACACTATCTGCAGCACAGCGAAAAGATTAACGCAGGATGAAATTTGTGGCAGGAGTGCCTGGTAAATAATTGATCTGAAACATTTGAGTTCGAGCAGAATCAACTAATGTCTACGGCTTAACGACTCCTATCGAGTGATCGTTAATAGGCCAGTTTTACCTCATCGTCCAGAAAACAAAGAGATCTTGTAATGTAATCCTGTTACATAACTGAATTGGGTGGCAGCTAGATAAGCCTCCAAGACAAAGGCGACGAATAAATATTTTGTTAGCCTACCTTCTTATTTCAGTCCGTATTATTATGAATATTTGAATGCTGAATAAAACATTTGCATTCAGGCTGGTTGCATTTATTTTCTAGTGAAGATACATAAATAATATTCCTAGCTCCTCGCTATCCCAATGCTGCATACCATTAAGAAGCGCGTCACTTATATTTTATTTTTTTTGTTTTTCGTGTGTGTGTGTGCGCTTTCCCCGGTTTATTTATGCCGCTTCGGCATTCTGAGGCTGAATGTTTCTTTTCGATTTTTTTTTCGCGTTCTTTTTTCCGTTTTGATATTTTCTCTTCTTCCCCGCTCCCAACAACTGCATGCAAAGCTAGGCAATTTTCTCGCGCAACTGACACGCCACAATTTAATATTGATTGCGAACGTTCTAAGGTTCCCGAAAGGGATACATAGAAAAGGATTTTTAAGAGGGCTTTTTAAACGCTTTGTGGAACAACAGGGCGGCCACATATGCAGCGAATAACGAGGAGCACATTCGTACGTGTTGCTAAACACTACCACCATGTCTTACCCCATTTTCCTCCCTCCCAGGCTGCAATCCCGCAGCAGCCATGTACGTGCTGCCGATTGTCTTGATTTTTTCTATGATACTGAACTTGGGCTTGAGCAGCAGCTGAAAAAGATAAGAGTACAAAGGGTTAAGTAAATGCAGCTGTCACTGTAGCCTAATACACGAGAACAAACAAATTATGGCCTTGTTGTATGGGCAAGTTGATGTAACGCGTTGTGAACGGAAAATACATGTTCTAATGATTGCAGTTTTTTTTTTTTGCTGTCACATTTATGTGAGAAATTGACAATGACGTCACTGACTTAGCACGCACACTTCTGATAAGACGCGCACACGTAATATGACCACATGTGATTGATGCTCTTTATACATTTTAAGAGATTATTCTACGTCGGCATGAGCCCAGCAGGAGCTCAGATGGTACGATTACCTCGGTTGCTCATCATAAATGCAAATTTAGCAAAATACAAAAAGTCGTTGTGGGATATAGTTGAGCTATCTGGAACAAGCTTGTTAGTGTGAACAGCTGCATAATTTTAACAAAACACGCATCCTGGAGCAGAGAGAAAGAGGGGTGGACAAACACAAAACGCATCGAAGCGCATCATTTCGCCTATTCCTTCTGTTGTCCTTGTTTTCTGGCGCTTTTCCAAATCTAAGATATACCAACTTGCCCAACTCCAGATTCTTCTACAGAACAAGAGTTTTGTCTTCCCTGATTCGTAACCCTAGAGCAAACAAGCACATAACTCTTGCTTTGTGGTTGTTTGCTCTAGGGCTACGAATATAACTTCGAGAACAAACGGTGAATACTCTTGAACACAGAAAACCTTATGGTGGTGCATACACTCCCCTATTTCTAAGGTAGGTGTTGGGCTAGGAGAATAGATATGCGCTTGTGTAGTGGCGTCAATGCGTCCACGTTGACTTCACCGTCGCCTGTTCGTTGCATAAACGGGTTGGAAGAAGGGATGGCACTGTCATAACAATGTGACTAACTGAGGTTACGCGAAAAGCGTAATCGTAAAACTCATTGGTTCATCAAAAAATAATTATATCGCGATATATATTGGCTTGAAATTTATACGTAATAACATGTAGAATTAGTGTGCCAAATTTGAACCGAACGAAGAGAAGAGAAATGGTCGAAGTTCCTTTTAGAGCGCAGCTCTCAGGGGCCCGTTCCCGGCTTGAGCGGCGTCGGCGTCGCCGTCGGCGTCGGCGACGGCGTAACCAAGGTCATCCCAAGGTCACGTGACCCCCAAGGTCACGCGACCCCTCGAGGTCACGTGACCACTCCCAAGGTCATCTCAAGGTCACGTGACCCCAAGATGACCCCACGTGACCCTTTGAAGGTCACGTGACCCCCAAGTTCACGTGACCCCCAAGTCACGTGACCCCTCTGAGGTCACGTGACCCCCGAGGTCACGTGGTCTCCTCTCCAAGGTCACGTGACCCCCGAGGTCATGTGACCCCTCCCAAGGTCATCTCAAGGTCACGTGACCCCAAGGTTACCCCCACGTGACCCCCAGGTCACGTGACCCATCTGAGGTCACGTGACCCCCTGAGGTCACGTGACCCCTCCAGGTCACGTGACCCCCAAGGTCATGTGACCCCCTGAGGTCACGTGGGGGTCACCTTGGGGGTCACGTGACCTTGAGGTGACCCCCATGTGACACCCAAGGTCACGTGACTCCCAGGTCACGCCTCCCCGAGGTCACGTGACCCCCTCCCCGAAGTCACGTGACACCCCCCCCCCCCCCCCCCGAGGTCACGTGACCCCCCGGAGCATATTAAAGAATGAGGGGAGGAGGAGGAGAAGGAGGAAGGGTCTACCCTCCCCTCAGTACCCTTCACTCTTCCTCCTCAAGAGCTGCGCTCCAATTCGGCGTTACAGGGATTTGTAAACGGCTTTCACTTTTTTTTAAGGCAAATAAAAGTGACTCACAGAAAAACTAGATCTACAACCAAGTCACCCACATTTCTAAGATAAAAACAAATTAGTCCTAATTGTGGGGTCTAGGAGAACTCGTCGCAAGCCAACTCGTCGCAGCCAACTCGTCATAGGTAAACTCGTCAAATAGGGCAAGTCGTCATAGGGCATCTCGTGCACGGGGAAGTTCTAAAAGAGGTCAACTGGGCACTTGTCCACTTCGTCAAAATTTACCTTTTTCGCCGATCTTGCATTTGCAAGTCGGCTTCGATAACTGATGACAAATAGTAATTTCCAACAAAAAATAAAAGCACGACATTGTCTTCTATAGATTTTTCTGCAAAAAAAAAAGCTTCTGCTGCCATCTCGAAGAGTTTGTGCGTATGCCGCGTGCTTTGCTCGCTTTCCGAAGCGACAAACACCCACGTGCTGGACTGTAAATATCGCGCTCTGGGCCGTACCTGAGAGTGCTATATTGTCGGGGACAAGTTAGCTTGTCCCCGACAAGTTAGCGCACGTTAGCTTCGGCCGTGTTTTGATTGGGCGTGCGCGCGCGTGCTGTAAAGGGAAGCAAACTTATTAGCCCATGACAGACTACAACAACCACTCCGAAACATGAAAATATTGGGTCTAGGAGAACTGATCACAAGCCAACTCGTTGTAGGTAAACTCATTAAGTAGGGCAAGTCGTCATAGTGCATCTGAAGGTGTTGGCTTTGGCCTTTGCAATGCTTTCTATCTGTACAGACCCAGTAAGCAGCGTCGTGGTCTTGTCGGCTACGCGTATAAGAATACCCTACGCATAGACGCATGGGAGCGTCACGGTAGGTTTTAATTCGGTCCATCATACGAAATGCGATCGTGCTCTCTGAAGGTCCACACATTTCGTTGCCATATATATATCCGTATTCGAAGCCACTTCGAATGAAAGACCCCTTTGGTTTGGATAGAAAACATAGAAGACGCCTCTAAAGACGAAACTCAACTGCTACATTTCCCAGCATCCTGGTGCGGAGGTCCGCATACCACAGGGTGACCACTATTTTGTCATTGCGCAATAAGTTTCGACCTAGCAAAGCTTCCAAAAAGGGTTTAATAACAAAGGGACGTCGTAAGTAAAGATAACACCGCGAAAAGCCGTCCACAACCGCCCGCTGCAAACAAGCAAAAGGAGAGGCCAAGTTTGAAACTGCGACAAGTTCGATGCAACCACTTTCCAAATTAAAGCCCCTCCCCCCTTTATCTGCCCCTCCCTCCCTCGCCCTCTCTAAAAAAAAGTCTGTGACAAACTTTCCAAGAACGAGAAGGTCACTGCGACAACTTTCCCTACTACGAGTTCACCTAGAATGAGATGCCCTCTTTGACCAGTTCACCTATGACCAGTTTTCCTATGACGACTTGGTTGTGACGAGTGGGCCTGTTGCCCTAATTGTGTACACGTCTATGCGTTTGAGAGCGACCTAAAAGACACGATAAGGAGGTTGCACACCTGTACCACATGCATTCGTGGCGCGCAATGTCTCGTGCATGTTTTCCTCGTTATTTTTTTTTCGTGTAGGTTTCGTGCACGCATGCTATCATGAAACATGCAGTGAAGTAGCTAAAGAAAATAAGAAGATAATCTCACCTTGTCGAAATCGCATATGATTTCATTTAGAAGCCGTAAGCATTCGAGACCTTGCTTGTTGACATCTGTCTCGTCGTAGAATTCGATGTAGTTGGGAATGGACGCAAACATGACCGCCACGTTGCCGTAACGCTCGTGATAAAGTTGCTGTCACAAAAAAAAATGTTTAGCAAAATAAACACATTGCAACATTAACCAGGAGAAACACTTGAAGCAAAAACCTGAATATTACAACAAATCACGAGTTACTTTGTCCGTTGTTAATTGTTCGTTAATTTCTCCGACCCCGTTGTCATATCAAGTACGGGAAAATACTTCACTCTTGACAAAATAATTCCTTCGTAAACTTATTTTATTTCGCATATATGGAAATGTGCGATTATTAGATGGTTTATGTTAATCACTAGATCTGGAGGAAAGCTCAGAGAAGAAGAACTCACCGGAGAAATCGATAACGCCTAAAGGGGCCATGAAGCGATTTTTCTACTTTTGCTAAATACTACTCAGAATCACTCTCTAAAGTTAATGAACGAATAAACTTGCCTTAGTTTTTCTTTCTAAGTAATCGCAGTCGGCAAATAAATGCGAGAAATATGAGCATCGTTCATTCCCTCCACTCAAAGCCAGAACAAGCGGCCACGTTGCCTGGTGCCTATCCTATGCCACCAACGTTAATCATAGCTGCGTGCTGGGGTTGGCAAAGTAAAAAACGCGTGCTGAGATCCAGGCATTGTTAGAGTTCGGCTATTCTTTTCACCGCAGTGGTTGGACACGAGCCACTACCCGAGTGTCCAACGAGGCATCGATTATTACGAACCGAAGTCGAGTGCTCACGAAGTTCTCGAGTCCAATTCAGGAGCCGCGCTCGACTGTCGTCAGGCGGATGGTTTCGATCATACAATTACGTCATCAAGCTTTGCGAAGGCCAAGACTGAAAGAAATAGTCCCCTTTATTCCTCGAAATTGTACCGCGACCAAGAAGCTTCTGAATCAGTGGCGGTCCGTGCAAGTATACTTGGGCCAAACAATGACCAGTACTAATCCAGTACGCCTCTGTAAAGACATGAACATTCCAACCCGATATCGTTTCATGACCCCTTTAAGCTGAGACTTCAGTCAAGATATATCAATTTATTATCATTAAAATTCATCAGCTTTGTAAAAAAAATGTAATTTTTTGTAAAATTTATGAAGGTTATTGGGTATACTGCTCCCAAATTAATATTTGCGGTCGAGTGTTTTCTGTAGTTCACTATCTAGGCAGCGAAAGCCTAACTGAAAACTTTATGAACTTGAAGAACAGGAAAAAGTTCGAAAGCTTAATAATGTGTGCCTAAGACCTAAAAAGTACTACTGTAAATGCCGAAAATCCGAAAGTGCATGCGCAACAACATGGTGCCTGAAATCATCTTTAAAGCTTTTGTTATCCTTTGGAAACAGGATAGGACGGTCAGTAGGATATCGAGGTTTCTTTCTTCCACGGACAGGCACGTTTTCTAGCCGTTCGTGCTGGGGTTTCCACACGTTGCCTTTGTCTGATAGTGGCCCTCTATGGCGAGCCACCCATGAATTCCAGAGCTGCGCACTGTCACCGTTGTTCCTTGTGACCTATATAAGAACTAGTCTTCTGTAAGGTAACAAATTGGACGAGTTGGTAAACGTTATACCATGATGGAAACCGCACAAACGGCGAAAACGGAGTGAAAACAACAAACACGACAAAACGAAGCTGTTCTCTCAACTAATGTTTTATTAATTAAAATAACAAAAAGAACACAGCTTAGCCGACACTGATTAAATCAACAAACGCCTACTTATTTATCAGGCACCCCACAATCTTCGGGGCTGAAACGGTTCACACACCGCTATTCAAATTCGCTCGCAAAAAACAAACCTCTTTATTTGGCAGTACCGACGGCACACTGTCAAGCTGTAAATTGTAGGTTTTTTTTTTACGTGTGTCCGATGTTCTGATTTTATACTTGCGGCATCATTAAGATACAGAATGGGTGATTACTAATTTCTGAGGAATCAGTAAATATGCCCAATGAACTTCAAGAATATTACAAAAAAGAGGACACTTATTTTTAATGAAGTGACGAATTGTAATTCTGTTAAATTGCCGCGTGTAGCGTACAATCCGCTAAGCTAAAAAAAGAAATAATTTAAACAATCGGTGAGCTTTTTTTCGCATTCGCTCAAATGCCGGTTAGCTTTTCTCCGGTGAGCTTTTCTCGGCCGCCCCGCCTCCCTAGAGGGAAGAGTGGCGCTCTGCGTACGCGCCGTAAAACTTCAGCCGCACAGCCCTATTCCACTATTATATCTCGCAGCCGTGGGAGGTGGACTGGTAAAGCATGTAACAGAGAAGCTTGAGCTGACCCCCCCCCCCCCCCCCCTTTCTACCCCCTTCTATGCAATCTCCGCATCAATGCAATGCAAGAAGCACATATAGTATGGACCAAACTGGAAACCAACACTGGCTTTTGTCGTGACCCGGAAGTTCAATTACCTGTTGTCCTCATTAGGGGGTTGAGGACACGTCAAGCTGCTCTATAGCAGCTTCTTCCTCCACCTCCCCCATCTTCGACGGAAAATAAAGGAATTATTATTATTATTATTATTGGGTGGTTTCATTTGAATTCGACCAAGCTTGTCGGGGTCGGTCCTCAGAATTATCTGTCAAAAATATATGTGAAATCCCAATCCCTGCGATGAACAAAACTGCCCTTCAAAAAAATTAGAAATATGTAGTTCGAGAGAAAAAAAATATGGAACGCTGCCGGGTGAAATGCGTGGAAATCGCGATTCCATTTCTGTTCAAGTTTAGACGGTCTTTACAAAATATTGAGTTATCACTTACTCTTAATACTTTTTATACTATAAGTATGCGATGTGTTATATTTTTAGAGGTAAATTATAGTTTTTTTACCATTTTTAGTTATTTTTACATAAAATCGCAAACATGCCACCCAGAGCAATTTCGACTAACATTGGGATAGCTATATCAAACGAACGGTATGAAGCTATGTCATGAGACATATATCAATACGTAGCTATTTAAATAGCCTATCGATTGGTATGTGTTTCTTGTTTATCGATTTTATTGAACACTATTGATTTCACCCCAAATATGTACAAAAATTGAAAATATACAAATTTCGAAATACATTTTTTCAAAAAGGCCATTTTTTATTTTCTTCTAACTTCTCTACTTCATAGCCCATAAGGTGTAGAAATAGTGTATATAAGTCTTGGGTGTAATATTTTTGTTGTATTTTGGTGACAACCAGTTAAATAAGCCAATTTTAAACCTGTCACTCAATCCTTGGTTCATCTATTCTGGCTTCACCACAATGGTACTGGCGGCCTCAATAATTACAATCGGTTTTAGAAGCCAGTCCATCGTGATCAGTTTGCCATTATATATGCTCATGACGACTCCTGGAACATCTGACATACGTTACGGAGGGCAAAACCTACCATTCACGTTAACAGTAATGCCACCTGCAGTCTGAGAGCGGGACAAGCTAGACATTATATTTTGAGATTTGGCGGGCGAGTGTTCTTACCGATTAAATCGCTGAAGCAGAGTGCGGTTAAGTGAACTTGAATATGCAACCTATATGTTACATACGATAGCCCGGTTTGTGAGAGAAATGAAACCCCTTACTATTATTGCAAAAGCCGTTATAGCTATAGAAAGAACAATGATTAAAATGTTCTTATTGCTTTGTAATTTCGCCTTCAAATTTCACGGCTAAAGGAAGCTTCTTGTCATTTCCTTTACTTTGAAACACGAACAGGAGCGAAATTGGTAGGAATTAAGAACGTAGAGCTCCCGAAAGCGGCAGCCGGCGTTTCACCAAGAGAGTTGGACATCTGGTTGTAATTTGTTTACGTAGTTTAAGAAATCACGAACAAAATATTTCTGACAGCCACGTAGAACTTGAAGACGACTCCTCTTCAAAATAAAAATAATAAAACAAACAGTTTTTTTTTCTTGCATCAAACGGGGTGCTAACGTAAGTAGCACTCTGTTCTTCATCGAACTGACTCAAACGCGGGTCCCTTTTGATCAGCACGAGGGAGAGCAATGATTGTCTCAGACGATACATTTGAGACAATCATTGATAAGCTTAGTTGACCCCGTTGACCTACGATAAGCTTTGCTGACCTCGTGCTCCCGACCGAGGCTGTTTATCGGACCGGTTCGCTGTCCCCAACTATCCTTCTCTGACCAAAGGACCTCACTGCGCAAACTTGTCTGTCTCCGTCTAGTCAAGGTTATCTAGGGGAGGAAACGAACAGTGTAGAGTTTTGACTTTATCATGCCGATCTCCTGAACGCGCGGAACTTTGTTTACGCAGGGGTCGCAACGCATCTTAGTTATGATCAATGTGATTTTTGGCAGTTGCCGGCAAGACCAGTCTTGGGCACGCAAGCACCACACCAAAGAGGAACTCTCTGTCGGCGTCTATCTCTTTTAAGTTCGTCTATTTGATTTTGTACGTGTTTCCTAAAGTTTGCAGTCCTCATTTATCCCCCGATTTTATTATCGTCGTTTTTCGCTATTTATTACTTCCCTCCCCTTTAAATGAAAAGACATACAGCGCGCTCTTTCTCGGTGATGGTTTTCAGCGATTATATTCACACAGTCGTCGATACTAAAACAAGAAGAAGATAAAAGCAGAAAGAGAGAAATAATAAACAAGCAAAAGATCGCGGCAAGGAATAACACACGGGTTTGAACGTAGAATTAGGTGGCCACTCGTATTTCTCACGTCCACGTTTCAGTCATGGCTGCAGTTTTCAGCGTCAAAAGGAAGTCCTGTGCCGACTACTTTGAGAGACATAAGCGAGTGATATACCGCAACCGACATTTTCGACCCGTAACCGACCTCAACGTTGAAGCATTGAAAAGAATTCTGTCTCCAGCCAAAGCTGCTACTGTTCTGTCGACGGATATGCTCTGCCAGAACTGTTTTCGACGCACCGGTGAGCAACTTTCAGCCTGTGCGGTGAGTGACCCATCTTCAAGCTCTCCGGCAAGCTTCATTGAAGAACATGAAGTAGTAGATGACATTAACGAAGAAATATCTGCTAAAGGGCTTGAGACAACTCCCTTGCGCATGCCGTCTGTCGTAAACCCGAAAAGCCGTCACTCCTATGCGGCAAGAAAACAGCGGGAAATGGAAGTGTCGTACAGCAGACAAGTACGTAAAAAGTTGGCTACAGCATATAGCCTGGAAACGAGTGAGTCAAACTCTGGGACTGAATCTTCCTGCCTTAACTGTGACGAGTGGTGGGCAAACCTCAGAGAAGCCTTTGTCAAGACACCGTCTTACCAGGAGAGATGCCAGTTGCTCACGCTTGTGCCTGCAAGTTTAACTGTTAACGAGGTCGCACGTTTAATCCCGGAGGCATCAAGCTACATACTAAAAAAGGCCAAGCGACTTCGTGAACGTTTTGGCGTATGGGATCGTCTCGAGCCATACCAAGGCGCTAAGATAGGCGAGGACATCGTGCAGTCAGCCACGCGGTTTTACACCGACGATGATTTCGACTGTTCCCGGCAGAGCCCCAACAAAAAGGACGTTGTAAACATTATGAAGGATGGGGAACAACAAGCCGTTGTCAAGCGCTACATGACCAGGTCCATAAGAGAAGCCTACAAGCTGTTTAAGAAAGCTAACCCGGACTCCAAATTAGGATTGACCAAATTTTATTCGCTGCGACCAAAATGGGTTAAGCTGAACCCTGACCAAACTGTGTGTGCATGCGTGTGCTGCACAAATTTTGATTTGTGCTTATCTGCCCTCAACAGCGTACGGGAAGAAAAAATAACGGCTGAGGATATTGTCGCTCTGTGCCTTTGCCCAGACTCAACGCCCAATTGTTTACGGGGCGAATGCAAGAAATGCCCTAGCATTGATCGACTCTCCTTACAAGAATTACAATTGGTTCCAGATGAGGAGATTAGATTTTGCAAGTGGGAGAATGGCAATTTGGTGAATAAGACTGCGGACTCTAACGCCTTTTTGAAAGAGATGCAAAATTGGGCCACAAGGTTTTCTACTCACGACTTCATCCGTAGAAGTCAACGGGAAGCTGTTCGGATTGAGAAGAGCAAGGTGACCACAAGGCATATTGTCATGAACTTTGATTTTGCGGAAAACTGGACGGTGACCCTGCCACACGAAATACAAGAGCATCACTGGCACAAGCGTCAAATCTCCGTGTTCACATGTGTTGCGTCGACATCGCAAGGTCCCAAATGTTTCGGTGTCGTGTGTGAAGACCTGTGCCATGACACTGCCCACGCAGTACTCGCTCTAAGGTGCATTGAGGACTGGCTGGAGAACAACATTCCAGTTTATACGTCATTAACGTATATATCTGACGGTGCACCAGCTCACTTTAAGAATAGATTTCAGCTCTACGAGTTCCAACGAGCCGGTCTTCCGAAGGTGAAGTGGGTTTTTTCTGCCTCAGGACACGGCAAGAGCGCCTGTGATGGAGTAGGGGGGCTACTGAAGCATCAGGCGACGGTGCACAACCTCCGTTCGCCTGTGGATGAGGCCATACAGAAATCAACGGACTTTGTGCACAAGGTGGGAAAGTGTGTAAAAAATGTGACTCTCCTAAATTTAAAGCAAGACGACGTGAGTGATTTCCGCAAAACCAAGAGAGCCGAATGGGGATCCATACCGGTTCAAAAAGGCATCCGCCTCTCACACGTGTGGCGACTTGAAAAAGGGGAAGTCCGTCTTCAGCGAACTGCATAGTCGGTATTTTAGTGCCTACATGTTGTTTCAAAATGTGTGACTTTGTTAACTGTGTAGGCAAATTCCAGACGTTTCGTAAAAGCCTCTGCATGTATAGACGGGGGAGTGTTGTGCACCATGTATTTTATTAACGTGAATACATTAGTAGTTAAATCGAGTGCCTTTTTGTGTCGTGATACCAGCGTTTTTGTTTTTCATTTTGTGAGCTGTACTTTGTATTACGTGTGTAAGCTTATAAGCAAAATAAAACTATCTACATAGCTCAAACAGTTCAAGTTTGTTCATCGCAGGGATTGGGATTTCACATATATTTTTGACAGATAATTCTAAGGACCGACCCCGACAAGCTTGGTCGAATTCAAATGAAACCACCCTATTATTATTATTTAACCTTGAGGAGATAAGTGGTAAGACCGCTTATGGACATGGTACTAGATTTGGAAGATAACTTTGGTGGCATTTCGTCAGGACCACTGACCCTCTCTGCTAATCAAATATAATTTTAAAATACCGTTTTTTGTGTTTTTATTTGGTCACTGGTATACATCGAAATTCAGAACTTATCAGATAAACATGAATTTTCCAAAATTTTACCGGCAGGTGTTTTTCGAAGTTTCTTTCTATTTATCCGAAAACACGGAATCCTAGTTACAACTTTTAAGTTATAACCCTTGAGGGCGCACTACAGTGTTTTTGAGGACCTTGTTTTATTGTCATAACTCAATCTACGACCTCTAAGCATTCTAAAAGAACCGGAATCACATTTATGCGCGACCGATTTACGTATTAAAAAGTGATCATAGTTATCGACACTAAAGCCGGGGTCACCCTGCTCATACATCATGCAAAAGACAGTCTGCAAACACTAGTCACCGCAACATCCGCGGATCGAATGCCGCGTGCCAAGTTTTCTCCTTGAAATTGCCATGCGGCATTCGAAGCACGGATCTCGCGTTTGAAACTGTATGCAGACTGTCTTTTGTATTGTTTTGTCTTGTGACCCGGCTTTATTGTTGGCGCAAAAGGACAGATGGCGCTACCGAACCTTGCTGAATTAAGCCCCTTCATATTTTCCCAGGATCGCTGAATATGCTGAATATGGTCGAACGATAGACGGTGCTTGTCAGCTCTTCGCCAGCGATGGGTTCCCGCGTGGACGAGCGAGAGCCGCCGCGCATAAATGTATTTTAGGTATTTTTTTGGATGCTCAAAACCGTAGATTGAGTTATGACCACAAAAGATGAATCTCAAAAGCGCTTTAATTACCCTTTAATATAATGTTATACCTCTTAGGTTGGTTTTCGTAACAAACGCGTTCACTTCAAAGGCAACTCTCCCCGAAAATTCGTTGGTCGTGAATTTTAGTATATTCGTTTTCTATACCCAAACAACGTGTTAACTGCTCTTTGAGTGTTTGCTTTATTCAAAATTTATGTGTAAGTTTTAATTGGCTCATAAGTATAATACGGTATGAATATTGACTTTACCTGAATACGAATTCCTCACTTACAGTCGATGTTATGCAGGCTAGCAAGGTACGCTTTGCGTACAATAAAAATAGTTAGTCATAGAGCTTTTCAAAAATATTTGTAATCAATGAGTTCACTTAAATAGATGTTAGGTTCATTGTCTGAGATAGGTGTGGTTAGGTTATGTTAGGTTCGCTTAGTTTAGGCTAGGTGGAGTAGAGGTAGGTTGCGATACGCTAAAACCGGTGACAGGTTAAGAGGGAAGTGGGGGTTCCTCAAACCCTCTTTCTACTTAAGCAAACGTTGAAGAGGAGATGGCCTCCTCTCCAGCGTTCGCTCTGCTAAAATGGAAAGTGGTGCGAGGAGCTTCCACTTCACTCTTAGCCTGTCGCCGACTACATAAAGGGTATGAGGGGTTATGCTAAATTAGTCAGGTTAAGCTACGGTAGTTGATTTTCTCTTAGTTCGTTGACCGTTCGTCACCTCGGAAAGCCTGCGGTTGTTAAGAAAATGTGCCGCAACGTGAGCTGGCAAGATGTTTTCCAGGAGGATTTTGTTGATGCTTCCCATTGTTTCCATTTCGTCCTGCTCCACACGGAGCTTGGCCCTGGAGAGGAAGTCCACCCGAGAGCTGTACTCGGCCTGCAACCGAACGCAATATCGTTACCACACACTGAGGTGTAACCACGAGCAAATTATGAAAAGCTTGAATGCTCCTCAGTCACCCGTTGCAAAAAGAAGACTGGTTTGTATCCACTGTTATCTCGTAAAAGCGAGCCGACACAGGTGTCGCAACAAGGCTCGCGTGTATGGCCATTGAGCAAGGTGCGTTTTTGCCTCAAGGCAAGATTAAAGGGATACTGAACCAAACATTTTAGTGCCCATAATGAGTGGTGCACGATCTCTCCACGAGCCAGCAGCTGCCGGTGGGCGCGAGCACACGTAATAAAATTGACGTCATAGTCCTCCATTCACGTTTAAAGAGGTCATGAAACGATATCGGATTGGACTGTTCATGACTTTGCAGAGGGCCAAGTATACTCACACAGACCGGCACTGATCCAGAAGCTTTTTTGTCGCGATGAAATTGCGAGAATAAAAGGGGACTATTTTTTTCAGTCTTTCCTTCGCAAAGGTTCATGACGTAATTGTGGTATCCAAACAATCCGCCTGACGACAGTGGAGCGCGGCTCATGGGTTGGACTCGAGAACTTTGTGAGCACTCGACGTCAGCTCGAAATAATCAATGCCTTGGAGGACACTCGGGTAGTGACAGGTGTCCAACCACTGCGGTGATGAGCGTAGGCGAACTCTTACAATCCCTGGACCTCAGCACGCATTTTCTACTTTTCCAAACACAGTGCGTGGCTATGATTAACGTTGGCGGTATAGCGTAGGCAAAAGGCCACGTGGACGCTTGTTCTGGCTCCGAGTTGAAGGGAGGAACAGTGCTCATATTTCTCGAAATTTGTTGGCGAGTGTCATTGGCTAGAAAGAAAACTAAACCAAGTTTATTCAGTCACTAACGAATTAGGGAGTGACTCTAAGTAGTATTTAGCGAAAGTATAAAAATTGTTTCACGGCTCCTTTAAGCTTACAATTAAACGTAGGGGCTCCGGTCATTAGCAGAATAAACACAGGCTTTTCATATTTCCAAGTGCAAGCTACGTGCCTGTTAGACCAATTATTCGCCTACCTTTTACACCAGGGGGGCTATGGTGCGCTTTTTGCACTCCCGGAAGACTAGGGAGAGGGAAGTGACGTCAACAACGCAGCAAATGCAGATTGGATGTTGATTTTGTTTTCTTCTGTCAACATCCAATCTGCATTTGCTCTAGTCGTTGACGTCACTTCCCTCTTCCAAGTCTCCTGGGAGTGCAAAAAGCGTAACATAGCACCCCAGACCCCGCTGTGGAGGTAAGCTTGTCTTCATTCTCCTTTTTCGCGGATACCAATCGTTTTACTGTCATCTTAGGTGTGAATTGAGGACTAAAGGCTCATTCACATTGCCCCATTTTCTTACGTTAAGTTACGTTACGAAATATTACGTTGAAGTCGCCGAGACCTCTGTGCTTCATATTAAGCGAGGCTACCAGTTCAAGGAGAAAGCATGACACGCGACATTCGAGACACAAATGTTTCGGTGACTTATACGTAACGTAACTAAACGTAAGAAAATTGGGCAGTGTGGATGAGCCTTTTCGCGCCGAGATGTTTCGGTGGCGCCCTCTTATGGTTTCGATTCGTGACGTCACGACTGGGATTTGCCTCGCCGTGACGTCACCAGTTGTTATCCTGACTACTTACCATCAGGTGCGACGACGAGTTCGGTGGTGTGTTTAAAAAGCACAGTGGAAGCTAGGAGCCATCGCAATCCGAAACTAACACCGTCAAAGTTGACAATCTAACAATGCTCATATGGCCATGGTTTGGCCCATCGTGGAAAGCTGACCACAGCGACGCTTTTGGTCGCGCACATTGCTATTAGGGCCGGTTCAGACACTTGCGTTTCAGTGCGTTTGACTGCGTTGCGTCGAGAACCGAAAGCGAGTCACCGGCACATCTGTGCTTCGTATGAAGCGTGGACTCCAATTCAGGGAATCATCATGGCACGCGATATAAGCAGCAGGGATGTCCTACACCGTGTTAGCGGTTCAGTAGCGCTTCTTGTAGCGCGGTGCTGCGGATTAGGATGTCCTGGTTTCTCGCTGCCGCAACGCAGTCAAACGCAGTCAAACGCAGTCAAACGCAACTGTCTGAACCAGGCTTTAGACGTCAATTTCGCAGCGTGTGCTCCCGCACACCGGCGGCTCCTGACACGTGGAAATATCGTGCGCCACTTATTATGGGCACTGAAATGTTAGGTTCAGGATCCATTTAAGAAGCAAACAATTTTATTTTTCTCAGTTTCTCCTTAGAACAGCTTGCAAATGCTCTTAAAGGGCATCTGACACGCCAAAAATATTCAAAGTGCCCGCTAGTGCCCTGTGACGTAACAGTGTACCGCAAGGTGTCGGTGCGGTCAGAAGGGACGCATTGACTTACGTCAGTCAATTGTGTTCGCCGGAAGTCACGTGAGTGTCACTCCTCGTGCTCCCCACGACCGTGCCTAAGACTTTTTTTTTTGTCTTTTCCAGGAGCGATTGTAGAAAACGAAGTTTCAGTTCCACTAGCTTTTTATCACTGCACCGTTTGTTAGTTTGCGCGCTGTAAAAGTTGAAGACGAAGAGTCAGTAGATCGACGTGTGGAGGTCAATGATGAAAGCGTTGCGAGTACAAGCCAGTGCACGAGTGCATGCCATCAGTCCGATAGTACAGATCCATACTAGGCACAAAACAAGCTATCGAGTTTTGAAGATAAAAATTAGAACGCTCGCAGAAATTAGGATGTGTAGCATACGACACTCCCAATCGCATTGCTGAAGGTTCAGACACCGAGGTCGTCAAATCATCGGATACTTTCCGGGCTGAAGATGTTTACCGTCTAGAGAATACGAACTGGTGAGTGTACCAAGTACAAGTAAACGTCGAGCATAAAGTACGTGTTTTGTCTAGAACATGAGCAGAACTTGTTTACTGGGTTCACTGACTCCTCTTCTTCTACCGTTACAGCAACATTAAACGATGAAAAGCAAATAAAGAAACCTTGTATGCTTGGATGGTTCGCGCAGGTGCGGAGAATAACAAAGATATAAAAACGATATTACGCAAGGTCGCGGTAAGCACGAGTAGTGATACAACTCACGTGACTTCCGGCGATGCCTCCCTTCTGACCGCCCCGACCTCTTGCGGTAGACTGTTACGTCACAGTGCACTGGCGGGAACTTTGAAATGGGCTTCGTATTTCTATTTCTTATAAAAAAATCTACGCAACTCTAAAGTGAAATAATTCTTTGGTGATATCCTGATACACCATTTTAACGCCTAGCATGAAAAAAACATTTTTTCTTGGGGCGTGTCAGAGGCCCTTTAAGCTGCAAACTATAGGCTCTATAGTCATTGAAGGTTAAAAAATAAAACGCGGGGCTTGGCTTATTACGAAGTTTTCGTAAATCGCTTCCGCTATCTCGCAACGCTGTCTGCTATCCTCACGAGATCCGGAACTCTGCGGTCAAGGCTGCGCATGCGCTGCAGTGGCGTCTCCGTCGAGGAACGCGTAGCAGAGGGAGATAGGCGGTCTACGAAAACTCGCTAACATGTCAATGCCCCTTGTTTTGTAATTCACTTTTCGTCGTCCTTACCGGCTCATGCCACACTCTCCTTGAGAACGATAATGAGAATCATGGGGCACGCCACGCCGTGCCTTTCTTAGGTTGTCCGTGACCTCAATCTAAGAGATATGGAGCCTCTAATTTTACGCAGAGCAAGTGCGAAAGCCAATCGCTGCAATCAATACCGAAGGAGCTCAGCAAATCACGAAGATGGAAATATGTTTTGTCCTCTCCGACGCGCTAGGCGAGAAAACGGGTGCCCCAGAAGTTTTTAGACTATTTAGACCCAGGGTGCGACACAAGTAACACTTGATCTCCGTTTTACTTTCATCGTTCCTTGTCCCGAGCTCGTTTTATTCTCTCTGTTGCCACACAGTGTTACCAACACGCTCTTCAGTTAATGTAAGCTGAGACTGCCGTGGATTATTTCTGGTACCCACTTATCCGGTATAATTTAGTGTTCAGCTCTAAACTGCCAAAGTGCCGTGCCAAAAAAAAAAATAAGTGGAAACCTCGGGTTTGTGCAGAACATGTCGCGCCTCGCACATCATCATAAGGTGAGTTTTCGCAATGGTCCCTCGGGCAGCACACTCGTTTTTTCAAGCAGAAACACGAAACCTAAATTCCGCCTCCAAAATTTTTTTTGTATTATTTTAACTTTTCTCGTTTCTATACAAATTTTCAGTTGAATCTCGCAACCGATGCGTTTTTTTTTTGTCCGGAATGTTTCCAGCAACCGGGTATGTATAAGATAAGCCTTGTCGCGCAGAATTCACCTAATATGTATTACATTATGTCGAACCGCAGTCAGCGCTACGTTTCAATAAAACCGATCGAGCAGCAACAACAAAAACAAGTTTATCGTCACGGTGACTTTTTTTGTTGTGTGTTTGCTATTTCCAGCTAAAGCAATGACGCACATTAACTGGCGCGGGATTACGCCATATTTACTGTGCCTGACTGATGACAGACGCACAAAGACGACGATTGCCGTGGCGATGAATTTTTTCGGCTCTGCTCGTAGCGTGCGCTGCGGTCGGGCTTGAAATGGGACGAAGTGCCACGGCAACGCCGTCACGTTGAAATCTACCCCATTTATTGTATTTCACTTTTAGACTCAAATTCGTTCATTGAACTTTTTTTTCCTTCTATTATTCATTGCCCTCTAACCTTCCATTCGGGGCAATAAGACGCTAGATGATCGCCACGGGCTAATTTCAGAAATCGATAAGAAGGAACGTCAATGGATGCCTTTGGAATGTAAAAATAATGTAAATTAATAAAAAAGTTTCTGTGGCGCCGCGGTTCTACAGAGCTGAAATAAATATACATATATCCTTAAAATTTCTTCATTTCTGTCACCGTATTTACGTTTATTATGGGAGCACATTTTGAAGCAGCCTAAAGTGGTATTCTGTGCAGAGGACTCGAGGAAGGACGAGAGAAATAAATTATGAAAGAAGTCATACCGGTTTATGCAATATTGCGACGAAGGGTAAAATATAAAGACATTTCATGAAATACGTCGGTTTGACATTAATTAAGACAATTCTTGGCTCCCTTAACATTTTCAGATTTGGCAAAGTAAATTGGCTGGAGGGAGTACGAGAAAGATACTGAATATCCCGAACACATGCCGGATAAACAGCTAAATAAACATTATACAATAGGTTATCGTACGAGGAAACTAATACATAGTTTCGATGTCACCTCTAAAATTCCATTTTATTCTTAGCGTGTCTGAAGTAATATCATGCGAATTGTATAGTCAGCGAATTATTCATACGTGACAGCCAATTACTTCAGCTGTGGCTTCTGAAATATAATGAATCTTACCACAATATGCTGGAGGACGACAGCTTAATTAATTTGCTTATACTCTTTTAATACTGTAACGGACATATAGAGCGCTTTCTTTTCATCTACGTCTTCTCACATGTTGCACAAAACGCATACCTGTCTGTCCAGTATGTGAAACAGGACCACGTAGAATATGAGAAACACCACCGAATATGTGGAACTTGGAACGTTGACGAGGCTGAAAGAACAAGGAAAGGTGCCATTTTTCCGCAGCACTCCTTTATTTTTCCGCGTGACCAATTGAAAGCTCGAGAAACTCACGGTGTGGCTTATTATTAGGGTTCCTAGTTTTCGGTACATACCGATAAACCCACAAAACAAACCCTGCCCTTTTACGAATTTATTGAAGTCGGGGAGGACCGGAAAGGCCCTGAATCGAAGCTGTTCTTGAATATAAAAACCAATTAAAGATTCATGTGAAAAAACAAAACAGAAAACCTTTATCTACAGCTTAATTTTGAGTTCACTCAAAACACAACCGAACTGAACTGTCTTCGATGATACCTCATTCTTCGGAAACTATACTGGTTATGACTTCGAAAAAAAAAAAAAAAAGCAAGTTTTTGCGCAATCATTATACACTGCGCGAAGTAGTTCTTACAATATTTGATAGCCTGAGAAGAAAGCGATGCTTTTAGCGTTTCAAACGTATTTGTCTTAATAAGATAACATATATCTAATCTAAAATGTACCTCCAAATACCTTAATTCTCCACATAAAGACGGAAACTAGTAAAACTCCGCGAGCAGCTATTTTTTTTAAATTTTGTTTCTTGATATTGAGTTTTTTTATTTCAAGTATTCGGTCATATGCGAACCATGAAGGTTAAGGAATTTATGACAAAATTATAAAAAAACAACAGCAACAACGTAATAAGTCATTTTAAATTTGAAGAGAAAACAGCAGAACCACGAAACTTTACATATCGTGTTTTCTCTCTTCGCTTAGGGATTGGCTGTTCGGCGTCGTCTTTATTGGCGAACACCTTCAGCTCATTGGCCGCGGAGGGATAATGATATGTTCGGGACTCTTTCACACCTTGCGTTTCCTAAGCTGTCGTTGACTGTCCAAACAGTTTCGTAAAAATTGGGCTGCTACAAAATGATTAAGTTCGATTTTGCACGATTATAATTGGCTTTAAATCTATTGGGTGATTCAAGGAGATGCCCGGCTCATTAAAGGGATGCTGAACCGAAATCTGGATTCCCCAAAACACGCGGCAAAAGCGTGCAACGGGATGCTACAAACACCAAAACATCACTCATACAGAGATATCTCGAACGGATGACAGTATTTTTCAAAAAAAAGAGGCGCATTTGTCAGGAATGTGGACGTCATGTTTCTCCGAAAAGGAGAGGGAACGGCCTCGCGTCTTCTCCGCCTCGCGGCCTTGAGGGAGCAAAGCGAAGAGAGAAGGAAACTAGGTATCTTGACGTCACGCGCCTCGTCGGCCTGGTTCAATCTCGACTTCTTTTTCCAAAAATACGGCCGTCCATTTGAGATATTGCCTTACTAGTAGTGTTGTAGGGATTGTAGCGTCCCGCCTACATCTCTAGCATTGTTTTTTTGAAAACCAAATTTCGGTTCCCTATCCCTTTAAATCGACCGCAAAATTCGGTTTCTTAACCTATCGCGCTACGACTTTGTGCAACGTTGCCCACAGATGGTGCATTTTTTTTTGTAAAATTTGCAAAGAGCGGACTTACCTGAGGAAAAAGTAAAGAAAGAAAAAGGCTTAGCTCCTATGGAAACGCAGCGAAGCCACCGGTCTTCAAACAACACGGCGCCGTTTTGCACGGGAGACAAGAGATGGCGCAAGCGGTCGTGACGCCAACTGCCGCCAACGAACGAGTATACGATGCCGAGAGCCGGCGTCTTTAGCAGACAAGCAACTGCAGTTCCTTGTTGTTACCGCGCCTGTTTTTGTTTCTGCGACTGTCGCCGCCTGCGGAACGCGCGCCGCTTTTGAGTCGAAAAGATCGCCTGCTAAACACGCCGGCTCTCGGCGCCGTATGCTCGTTCGTTGACTGCGTTTGTTGCGCCATCTCTTGTCTCCCGTGCGAAACGGCGCCGTGTTGTTTGAAGACCGGTGGCGTCGCTGCGTTTCCATAGGAGCTAAGCCTTTTTCTTTCTTACATTTTCCTCAGGTAAGTTCGCTCTTTGCAAATTTTACAAAAAAAAAAAAAAAAAAAAAAAAGCACCATCTGTGGGCAACGCTGCACAAAGTCGTAGCGCGATAGGTGAAGAAACCGAATTTTGCGGTCGATTTAAAGAGCCTGGCCTCTCTTTGAATCACCCTGTAGTATACGTCAAGTGGCACAGGTTAGAAGGAAATTTTATTCTTCATTTTTTTTCAACCCTCTCCACTTAGAATTCTGTACAAACATTCGAGTCTATGGTCTTGCGTGTATCGGGGATAGGGTAATAATTCCTCTTGGGTATACCCCGACTCCCGCTCCAGCGGTCCTCCGTAGAGATCTGGCCGGATGAGGACGAGTGCCGCAGCGAAGGAGGTGAGGCCGCCGATCATGGCGACCAGCTTCAGCAGGAAATTGATCCTCAGGAACATGGAAAGGGCGGTGAGTGCCAGCATACCAGAAACTGGCTGGAACTACACAATGGAAAGGGAAAAAAAGGAACTTAAATTAGTAACGTAAATTTTCGAAATGTGGCGTTATTCACATTTTTTGGGCATTACAAAACGTCTCTCGAATTCGATCAGAATAAGCACTGGGTTTGGAGCGTCCACTACCCCTTTTATGATTATTATGACATCGCGTACGCCGTCCAACAGATGCACATCAAGTATATGTTTTCCACCACCGAACTTTTGCGCACACGAAAAGTGGGCTATTCCCAACGTATTTCGATGTAATTATGCTTAAAAAGACGAGCTAGGTGGCGGCTACTCATGTTTACAAAACCTTGATACTGAGCAACACATAGAAGAGGACAAGTGGGGTCTCAAACGCAGCTGAATGTTACCGCTCGCTCAGCCCAAATGTTGAATCGGGAACTTCGATTGCCTCCGAAATGAGTTAATATTTGCGGTGGCTGAGCATCTTTTGGCTGTTTCGTTTCTTTGCACAAACTCTTTCGCGTACAGCAGATAGGCAACCGTCCGGTGACGCGGAGACCCTTAAATCCACAACCAGACCTCCGACACCCTCTCCACCTTACCCAAGGTAACAACAGCAGACCGATGACACAGACTCCCAGGCCAGACATGTACGTAACGCGTTACTAGTAACGAGTTACTTCTAGCTGTTAATTTTTACGGTAAGGAGTACCGTAAATAGTTACCTTTTTTTTTTTAGAAAAGGAACGAGTAACGTCGGTTACAAGTCAAGAAGGTAGGAGAAGCTCCTCCCACAAGTGTGATGCGCCCGTTTCAAATCTCTCCGCAGTCGAAAGAAGAGTTCACTGGAAACGCTCCTTGTTCCGCTTCAATGGATTCCCACTTGTCTCCGATCCCACTTTTTAAGAAAGCGACCTTTGTATTCATCGGAGAGGGAACCGAGCCCCTGAAAGCAGCCTTTGTATCCATCGGGGGGGAAGCTAATCCCCGAAAGTCGTATTTGTTTCGTCGGTGGGGGAGAACTTTAATCTCCCTCTCGTGGCTTCCACAATGGCAATGCTAAGTCAAGACCGAAAGATAAAGCAAATATGTACAAAAAGGCAAGACCCTCCTCGCGCGTTGGCCGCGACGTCATGGAAACGGTGGGACGCTATTGGATGCGGAGGTGGCGGAGGGATATCTGATTCCCTTTGAGGGGCATTTGCCGCTACCTTCTTAACCTGTAACTGACTATAGTTACTTTTAAGGACAAGAAACGAGCAACGGTATTTCGTTACTTTTGAGGAGCAACGTGTCTAACAACGTTTAAACAGCCTCGTTTTAATTCTAACTTGAGTATGCGTATACTCCGATCAAAGCAGATGGGCAACATGGAATACAACTAAACAGTGTTGCTAGTATACCAAGGTTTATCGCTAAACACTTTTAGTCGAACTCTCCAGCTGGGAATGACCTTCACTCAGATAACACAATAAGGTTCGTTGGTTGAACCTTCTAGAATCGTGTACAAACCAAATGTAAACACGGATGTTGCCAACCCGCGAAGGCACAGAAGCCATTTTCAACTTTGAACTTTTAGAAGCAGAGATAGCAAAAGCGGGAGGGAAGTCCTAGATTCACAAGCTCTTCCTGAAGCCCAACATTGCCGTTAATTTCATCGCGTCAGAAGAACGACTCTCCAGCGTTACCAGAGATGTATTTATTCTCAATGAAGCGTGGAAACATAACTGGTGAAAACTTCGAGAGGCAGCTACTGCTAAAGTGCAACGACTATTGAAAAGAAAACTATCAACCATAAAACGAAAGAGTTTGTGTGTTTGATTGTCAAATAAACGAGAACAGTAACTCGCTACTTTTGAAGTAAAGTAAGGCTTTTTTCTTGAGAATCGGCAACGAGTAACGTATTCAGTTACTTTCTGAGCGGGTAACGAGTAACCTTATTTAGTTACCTTTTTGGGTGACGTGTACATGTCTGCTTCCAGGGTACCCACTAAACAACCAGAAGTCCTTCGCTATGGATAAAAAAACTTGAAACTCTAGCTGCCAGAACTTTTCCGATGCCCAACTGCGAACACGAAATACAATAAAAAATCCCCCCAAAACAAGAATTTCCCGAATTATCCGAATGGCTCCCCTCCTAAGTTTATTGTTTAATCACCTACCCACTCTAAAGAAAAAAAAATACCATAAAACAACTTTAGTCGCACAAAATATCATATTTGGTTATTAAAAATAATGGTCAGATTCCATAAAAGATTCCAATAGTTCATATCCTGATTGGTCGTTTCCACACACCTGTCTTTTACTTGCGTCTTTGCCTTTATAGACAATTTATTTTGTTCCTACTCGGTATAAGACAGAAACCATCAGGACCCTCTACATGACTTGCACTTTTTGAATGTGTGCCTTCAATCCAACTGCGCTTTTATTTCGATTATGTATGCATCTCCTCGTGAGCCGACATACTTTAAACCGCATTCGGGAACCAGACATCAACATTTAACATCTCTAAAATTCTTATTATTCTTATTGTTGCACCTACACAAAAACTGAACTAAACTAACCTAACCTCCCCCCCTCCCCCCCACTATGAACCAGGTTACGCTGTTATGCTAAATATTTTTAAACAAGCTTTAAACAATACTTTTCAATTCACGAAAATTGAGTGCTAAAAGGGATACGGACAACACCCTCCTCTTTAATTCCCATGGACTTTGCCGCTACACACTCCGAGCTTCTACCGGCTCCACTAATGACTCTTAGGTGAACCGCCTTAACAGCCTAGAAGCCTCTGTGTGTGCATAGTACCTAGAAGTTAGAACCATATCCGCACATGATTTTTGAACCCGTTGTTAAACAATGAAACAGCCCCGTTTCCGCGTGCCAACTTAAATACGGCAACAATTGCTTGGTGTCAAACTTACCATAGCGCTATGACCGCCCTCTAAATAAGCTCATTTATCATCCAATATTCCAACGGAAAGCCTGCCACCTATTCGCGGCTGCTTCACTGATGAAGTTCAGCACCTGCGTGTGGGTAACTCCCTTCCCCGGTTCAACTAAAACAGGTGTTAGTTTTGAATAAATTTACCAAAACAGAAAAATTAACATGCCGTCGCACAGGGAGAGTAGCGTAGTCATATTAATAAACTTTGCAGCCGTTACCATTACGGACTATACCTATGTCAATATTATATGAAATGTAGAGGCGATAGATGAACCTCGAACAAACTCCGCATTCAAGAAAATAGGAAAAGTTTACAGCACCAATTATGACAGAATAATAGTCACCAAATTAAAGGTTTTCTAATAAGCTATTGGCCTTTTCTGTTTACCCTCGTTCCGAGCCACGTAATTCCTACATATGATATGAGAGGGGGGTGGGGAGGGGGGGGCGAAAAAAGAAAGAGCAAAATATTATATTCGTGATGCGCGCGTCTTTGAATGTCAAGGACCACACGCGTGCAATGAAGCATGCACGTTCAGCGCGTTGAATGAACTAAGTACGTTCGGCGCGTGCATGGTGACGCCGAGAAGAAAACAAGACGGCGTGTGCTGGATTTGTGTGCGGCGGATTGGGCTTTTAGGAAGGGAAGAAGACGAGACGGAGCGAGCAGAATCCAGGGAGTGGAAGTAGAAGGCTGTCGGTTGCAGGACCCAAGCTTCACTGGACTTCCCCTTGGACTTCCCAGTGATCTTCATCCTAGTCTTCTCTCCTGTCAGGGGTTCTGCCAAACGCCACCGCACGCTACCACGAAGCCTAACAAGCCACCGCGCAAGTCCGCCATGCACCACCCGTTCCGAGCGTCGATACAAGGGGGGGCTATGTTGCACGTTTTCGACTCCCAGGAGACTAGGGAGAAGGAAGTGACGTCAACAACGCTCTTTGGATGTTGATTGGTGGAGTCGCTGATGACACGTTGCGTGGTGCTGCTAAAATACGTTCATTCACACCTACGTCACTTCCTTCTCCCTAGTCTCCTGGGAGTCCAAAACGTGCAACATAGCCTCCCTGCTGTCTCTGCACAAGTCTCCTGGGTGAGCAAGGTGATACTGCACCGCGACACCACAAGGACGCTGGACGATTCTTTTTTGCCCTTAACGCAGCGACCTGAAATGTACTTGCGATGGTGTTAACGCGAGTTTTCTGTTTGTCCTTGTAAAATAATAACCGGCTTATCTGAAAAAAAAAAAAAGAAATTGCCGGTTGCTTTTGTACTTCGTTTGAATTTTTTTTTCATGTGTGTAGAAACGTTTTTGTTTCTACTTTCTAACGCCCTGTCTTTATTCTTCGACCAAGTTTACTATTTTTTACCACAGTCTCGGGTTTTCTGCATTGTGAGTTAGATTACCGGGGTTGATACCCCAAACATCGCGAACCACGACGTTACGATATTCTTGATTAAGTAAAATACCTTGAAGAGGAAAAACAAAATGAGTGAGAGTCGTAATTAAAATGTGAACAGTTCCAAGGGCAAAACAACGTTTTCCCCTGATTTCGGGCGGCGACTAAACAAAATACGGTGACAGGCTTATAGAAGCGACCAGCATGAAGCAAGACACCACAGCGAAGGACGTCAGGCGCTACAGCTGCTGCGGTCAGCATGCTCCGCACTTAGGCAGTTTTTAAGGAAACCGTAACGTCCTTGAAGAACACACTATTCAAAAGAAAATATCCTGCATCTATTCTCGACGCAACCACAAGAAAGGCATCCGCTTTCGAACGTAGCACACTGCTTGAATCCACAAGACAGCTTCACTCCAACGAAACAAGGGTGCCGTTGGTTATAAACTACTATTCGAACCTATCAAGCCTGAACTCCATAATGAAACGCCATTTAAACATCCTACATGCCGACGATAAACTTAAAAAAAATATATTTCCCGAAACTAAACATTCGATGAAAGAGCGATTTTATGGCCATAAGTCTGACATTGTAAATAAAGGACAAACACAAGTAGCTAAACACTTTAACTCCGACGACCACGACATTCATACGCACTTAAAAATTATCATCGTGGAAAGCAGTTTC